CACTACCAAATTTCAGGATTAAAATCGAAATCATTAAGATCTAAGGTATGAATTAGATATTTACCCAAAATACGTATGACTAAAGACAGTGATTAAAATGGAAACAAATGAAACTTAAGATACAAATTAAAATAAACGGAAAATCATTACAATGACTAAATCAAAAAGTTACAACACACGAGGGCTTCAGGAAAAATTTTCCCATGCACCTAAAACACAGAACACCTCCCCTAAATGGCGTCATATGGGGAGAGTATAAATCCCTATAAATCGGCCTAAAATGGCCTCAATCCCCCATTTTTCATTTTTTTGCTTCTATCTCTAAAAGAGAGAAAATATTTCTCTCTTGTCCCTCTCTACTTTCTCTTACCTCCAGCCACAGTCCGCCGGAGCCCTCCGCCGCTACACACGGCGGCCGACAACCTAAAAAGCTCCCCAAAATGATCATCGGCCTTCCCTTAACCCGAATCCGAACACCAATCCACCTAATACTAAACCGATCATCCTAGATCTAAGAAAAGCAAAGAGGTTTCAGTTTTTGATAATTTCTCCTTTCTCTGGTGGGGAGATGTGTGACTTTGAGTGGTAAGCTCCTCTTTTCTCTCTCTGATTTCCTTTCTTATTTTTCTTTTCGAAAAGATCCCCAATTTTTTATGGTTGTTTTCTTCCACTTTTTTGTTTGTTTTTAGATCATATACGAGGCTTGTGGCGTGTCGGGGACGAGTGTGGTCTTGTCCACCGCCTCCCACTTGCTCTGGACCGACCATGCTATCATTTTCCCTATTTTATGTTCTGATTTTTTTGGTATGAATCATTGATGGAATTTGAAATCAACTGCGGCTGAAGAGACAAGGTCGGTGGGTGCGTGGATCACACGTGTAAAGATCGAACGGTAGATCTGTTCAGAGCAATTTGGATCGTTGGATCTCTAGATCTGATCTAATGGTGGGTTGATTGTGGCGGCAGTGGGTGATTAGGGTTTCAACAAACCCTAATTATATTTCTGTTAGGCTTCAGTTTGTTGAGCTAGTACTGGGTCACTTGAGGCTTGTTAGTTTGGGCCAAACCGGTTGGACCAGTTTAATGTTGTAATCGGGCATGGTGATGTAATTTGGGCCCAAGTCTGTTGGGTTAATTTTTGTAGCCTGTAAATAATGATAATAATAATAATAATATTAAAGTCGGGACGAAAACGAAAGTCTACATTCTTAATTCAAAATAATTCAATAAATTTAATTCTTTATATGTAATAATTTTATCAATTTAGAACTTTATCTTTTCCCAAATTGTTTATTCTTCAACGTTCGTCATCAACCCAACTTAGGTACCCCATTAATACTATAATACTTCATTTTAAATTATTAACACAAATTTATAAATATAAAAGTATTTTTTAAATAATTTTGCTTAATGTTAGATCTTTTATTAGTATCTATAGTAAGAGTAAGTACTCGTTGAAACCTACCTAAAATTATTTATGAAAACCTTCAAGTTTTAGTTGCTATTATCATGTAAGTTTCTAAAAATAAACTCAAAATTTCAGATCATTATACAATTCACTTAATAGTTTTTAATGGTTTCATATTTATATTTCATATGTGTATATGATTTACTAAATTTACATGTTATAAGTATTTGATTTAAATAACATGTTATAACCAATATGTGTGTGTATTTTTTTTATACACAAAAGTTTAGGTCAAGAGTGGTTCCTTCAGTCTAAGGTCGGGGTATACATAAGACCCAGTTGAGATTTACATAGAAATTTATAGCTTGCTCACCAAGAATGACAGTAGTAAGATTCGAACTTTACCTTACAAACTCAAATTCTTGATTCTCAACTACTTGTATATGATTTTAACTTATGTGTTACATGCATAGGACAAAAGTGCTTCAATATTTGCAACGAATCTTTAATTTAGATAGCATCATATAATGAAGATGTGGGGAATCGTACTAATTCAAGTATGTGTTGTTTTTTTAATCCAAAGAAGGACAAAACTAAATGTATCTTATCAAAATCAGGAGGTTTAAATCTTAGGAATATTTAATAATTAGATCCACTTGTAGTGAACTTAGGACTCAACCGAAAGTTTTGCATTAAAAATTGTTCACTGACATCACACTCATATCTTAACCAAAATCAATGTTGGAATAAAAAAATTTTGAACATAAAGCATATAAATGTGTATATATATTGGAGAATTTGCACGTTTAGCCATTTTTATTGAATTTTAGGTTAAATGAAATTCCAAACGTTAGGGTTTCTAGAAAAATATTAGTTGGGAAAAAAAATATTTCCTTTCAATTAGGGGAGAATTATGGTTGGACTGAAATAAGTTTTTTATTAAGTTGATTTTACCTAAAATATATCTTCTTCGTCGGAAATTTGATCTAGCATGGATTCAGAAAGGTTTCATTCGACCTTAAGTTTGGTCTTAGTTTTGATGTAAAAACTAATATCTGACTCGACTTAATATAAATATTTTTCTCATTATTATTCAATAAAATATAAACCTAATAGGAAAAAAACATGAAGAAAATGATATTATAAAAATTATCTCTAAATATATATAAAATTATACTATTATCACGAGACAGGTCGATCCATGAATCTTCACATCAAATTCAATCCTAATTTTCTTTTTTTTTTTAAATTGACCATATTAGGTTGGGTCGAAACTTAACGAATTCAGGTAAAATGACAATCTCTACTTCTAATTAAAAAAATAAAAGAGGATTAACCCAATTATCATATGATACTTAGTTAAAAAATAATTCTATAAGAACTATCTAGACAAGGCGAATTGTCATATTATTTACTTTTTTTTACTTTTAAATATACTTAAAACGAGGCTAGACATTACATGAATACTAATTATAAAATTATTTTTTTCAATGATAATAGGTTAAATAATCCTTAGTTTAATTATTGATTTTATTAATTTAGAATCCCACAAATCTAATCTTTGAGTAATCTACTTTGAAAAGGCATTTTACAAATAAAACCAAAGAAATAGAGAACCGCAATAATATTACACTTTTACCCCAAGTTTGTAAACACGCATTAATTAAAGCTAAAATGCTTAGCTGTTGAACGATGTTTGAGCAGTAAAAGCTTAAATTTTTAGGCTGCTTTTCAGCTTCATTCCCCCTTTTCAAAAATAAACCAAGAGATAAAATCCGTACTAATCACGGATTATTAGTGGTACAGTGACAAGTATGGTACACTTTCTTTTTGCCGCTGCGTTGTTTGATGTTCTAGAAATTTGGTTACATCACAACCTTCATTTTCATTTGGTTAAATAATATATTGATCATAAAATTATTTTTTATTATTATTTATTTCTTAATTTAATCTTTTATCCGATACATATTGTATTATTCAACTATTTTAGACAATAATTTAATCGAATAGAATTGAAAACCTATATCCAAATCTCAAACCACTCGTATGAATTAACTTATTTTAGTGATTAAAAAATTATTATTATTCTTAGATTTCACGAGTTTGAGCACATACGATTACAGTAGGATGATTAAACGTTTATTATCAAATGATTAACATGATTTTAAACAGATTATACTTTATAATCTCATTTAATTAATAAAAAAATCTCAAACCACTCTACTACAACTACTCATAATTAAGTGGGTTTTGCCAACCTTTTTACACGTCAATTGTGTAAGCATGAACAAAAAATTTAGATATTTGTGTGATTATCTAATTAATTATATTTGTTTGAGTGGTCTATCCCAAGACTGAATTACAAGAGGGACACATAAGATTTTCAATGTATCATACGGCTCAAAATCAATCATCTTTTTAGGCAACCTATCTAGAACACAACACCTGTCCATGGTGACTATCAAAAACATCAAAAAAAAAGTTTGATTATTTAAATGTAACAAATAGCCAATATGGAATCCACAAATAATATTTAATAAGATTTAATGTGGATTACTTGGATGAATCTACTTAAGAAGTAAGCAAATACAACACCTGGGGAATTTGCATTGGTCATCCTGTCATTTTCATTAAAAAAACTAAGGCACCCACCTTATAATAATCTTTTCATTTGTCCTGTATATAATTACACAATTGTTGCTTAGATTATACTTTTAGGGTAAAATATATAAAATATCACTAAATTATGTTAAAACGATTTTTTGGCAATAAAGTTTCTGAGATTGTAAAATAATTATTAAATTTATTGAACTATTATAAAATATTAATTACATGTTATAAAACAGTGATGAGTTTCTAGAAGTTTAAGATCATTTATAGCAGTTTAATAAGTTTTAATGATCATTTTATGACGAATCAATAGGTTCAATGACTAATTTTGTAATTATTGGAATTTAAGTGGCGAAAAGAATATTTTAACATAGTTTAGTTATATACTTTACCCTTTTCTTTTAAGTCTCCAGAGTCCGTATGCATAAGCCCTAGTTCATACGTGGCATAAAACTATGGGATTTCCGTTCTCTTTTGTCTCTTTTCAAGTCTTTAGCATCAAACAAATATATTAGCTAATTGGATAAAGATCCTCATCTGTACATGTCACCCAATGCCTTTACATTCTTAATTCTCCCTTTGCAACTCAATCTTATTTACTCTAATAAAAATATATATATATATATATATAATTACAACAACAAAAAAAACTTCACAAGTATATTTATTTAAATCTTATTTAATATATTTAAATTATCTTAAGTTCTAAACTCTAAAACTAAGATGTAACATGTAATAGTATTAGAACACTGTTTGTGAAATAATTTTTTTTACTGATAGTATATAAAATTAGTTTATATATTTAATTGCCATTTGATAATTGATGTGGTATCTTAAAGATCAGCTGTACATAAACAAGAGAAGAGAAAAAGGGGATACTGAAAATGACTCATGGGAAGGGTTGAAGCAAAAGGTCTCTTGAGCGCATATATAAATATGGGACACACTAACCTTAGATGGCATAGAATTTGCTAGACGAAAAGGGCATTTATTTAAGGTCATAGCCTTTTTCTTCTTGTTAATTTGTCTCTCTGTTTTGTTTTCCTACATGTCTTGGGCATTAATGGCTGGACACTTGGGTTGGGGTACTATGGAAGAAGGTTGGAGGAAAGGTCCTTGGACAGCTGAAGAAGATAAGCTTCTTATTGAATATGTCAGGTTACATGGTGAGGGTAGATGGAACTCTGTTGCTAGGCTTGCTGGTAAGCAAAAATATTTGCTTTTTCTTCTTCTTCTTCGGATAGTGGCCGGGGGGGACGAGTCGGTAGATTCGAATCTTAAACCGATCGGATTAAGTTCCGGATTCGAATATTCATGTAATGTTGTTGTTGGACAGGGCTAAAAAGGAATGGGAAGAGTTGCAGGCTCAGGTGGGTGAATTATTTAAGGCCAGACCTTAAAAGAGGCCAAATAACCCCACATGAAGAGAGTGTAATTCTTGAGCTGCATGCAAGGTGGGGAAACAGGTAAACCAAATGATCCGATTCTTGAAAAGAATCGAACTCCGGGGATTTTTTTTAATTTGTTGTGTTTATTGATTCACAAATCAATGGAAATTTTCATCAGATGGTCAACAATAGCAAGAAGCTTACCCGGAAGGACTGACAACGAGATCAAGAACTACTGGAGGACTCATTTCAAGAAAAAGGCAAAGCATGCACCTGGTAACTCCGATAAGGCAAAAGCTCGAATACTTAAAAGGCAACAATTTCAGCAGCAGCAGCTCCTGCAACAGCAAGAACAAGAGCATCAGCAACGTCTGCTACAGCAGCATCATCAACAGTTACAATCTAACCAACTCGACATGAAACGGATCATGTCGTTGCTCGGCGAAACGGAACACAAGGTCCCGTATGTTCCTATGATGGGTACTAATTCATACCCCGACACGACAGACCAAGGACAAGGCGGCTTGCTCTATCCAACGATGACGATTAATGGAGATGTTTCGAGCAGCGATACCTCGAACGAGGAGATTCTTTGGGATGGATTGTGGAACTTGGATGATGATAATTTCTATGGGAATTTGGGTGCTACGTGTGCAACGAGCAAAACGAACTTGCACAATCTGGCGATCCCTTTCTGCTGATTTCAATAACATAACGTTTCACATCAAATGAGAAAAGGGTCTCAAATAATTGAAGCTATTAATCTAGTTCTAGTTCTAGTTCTAGTTCTAGTTCTAGTTCTAGTTCTAGTTAGTTCTGTTAAGTCATCATCATCAAATGAGGAGGCTCTTGCAAATCCGCAGGGAGCCTTAGATTGATGATCAAAGGTGTGAAATTTTCAAAGGTGTGACTCTAATTAAAACTTAAGCCTAGTTATGATGTAGCCTATCAATAAAATGATCCAATTTTGCATACGGGAAAATCATCCCATGCTTTTGTTATTTTTTTTTCTAAAAAAATCCTTATAAATATTAATTATGATTGAAAACAAGGACAGTTTAATAATTTTAAGTTGAATTGATTAAATGTTTCATGTCAGAAGTACTTGCAATTTCAAAGACTCAAAATTTAAACTAAATAATCCAAAAATATTTCTTGAAAATATTTTTAAAAGCATCTTTCTTTTATGCATATATTAAATTGAACCTATGTACCCGATTGACGTTTCAGACCAAACTTAATTTGAACTTTGATTATTAAATTATATTAACCATGAAATTTTACTTAATTGAAGTGAAGATGAATATATAATTAAAATACAAATTTAAAAATAAATATTACGAATTAATGATGCCGTAAAACCAAAAGTTAAAATTACAAATATTATTATAATCAAAACTAAGAATCTTATGTCTTCTCATTCCCGTGTTGTCTGATACACAATTCTCCAACAACTATGGATTTCCCTTTAAATTATTCCCTCTTTCGGGTTAGGCTTATTTAGAAAAATAACAAAAAAAATAAAGAAATAGGTACATGTTTTAGTATCAAATATATTTAAATTATATCTAATAAAAAAATTATACTTTCTAAATATATTTAAATAATTCTTTTACGCTCGGCGAACAACGATGAGCACTGATAAATTATTTTGTAACACGACAAAATTATAAGGCACTCCATGTATAATTATATATTAGTTAAAAATGTAGTTGTAATTTTAAATAAATCACAATATTAATTACAATGGTTTTTAATCTTTTTTTTATTATAAGTAGATCAAATAGTAACCCCAAATTAGAAAACCCTTATTTTTTTAAAAGCTTTGATTTTCTCATTGTCGTCGCCGCCCACACCGTTGCCGCCGCCGCTGCCGCCGTCTTACTCATTCGATTGAATCGTTGTCGTTCATCCCTCCTGAAGTGAACAACGTTCATCGCCGTTCGCGCAACCAACCCATTAAGGGAAGCTAAATTATTTTTATTTTGATTCGAACTTGGTTTTTCGTCAAAGCCATCATCGGAGGGTGGTGGCTCACCGTCTATCGACACCTTCATCGGTAGTGGTCGTGGTTGCCAATGTGGGACTGCCCCTTCTCATCCTTTTTCCCCAATCATATGTTTCCTACACCCTAACCCTAAGCTTAACCCTAATTTTATAATTTCTCCAGTTGTATAACCCGAATTCCCTAATTGTTTTTCAAAATTCCCTTTTTAGAACCACAACTAGAACAATTACACCTTAATTCCTACATTGAAACAGATTTTTTTTCAATCCAATTCTCGATTCCCAATTTCAAATTGTAAAGGGCATACCAGTACGTTGACAGTGTGTACCGGTACTCGGGCATGCCTATATCGGTATGTATTGTGTATCGGTACCATAATTGTGATATGTTTTATTAGTTCCACTTAGTGTACTGATACACTCATGTAGGGTATCATTACGGTATGCTTGATTCGTACATTTTCCTATTTAGTATGCAAATATGTTGTCATTAACCATTTTAATAATGTTGGTTTTGTTTATGTTTTTGCAGATAAAGATTTTTTTCGAGATGGTTGATAATAAAGAGACCAAAATTTAAATTACAGGGTTGGATGGTGTTAATTAGGATGAAGTTAGCCATAATCACGAAAAAGATGTATGTAACAATTAATAAGACTATAAAACTTATACTGATGAAAGCATATGGGATAAGATTGGAAAATAATTAAAAGATTACAATGATAATGATATAAATTTGTTAAAGTGGAAGACTTAGATGACTACATTGAATTTTATCATACCTATGCAAAGTTAAAATGGTGGTCACATAATTGCAAAGAAAATGGTGTGTCGAAATGAGGGATATAGAGAGAATAGGTGGACTAACCTTCGAAATAGAAAACGTGTACAAAAATCGAGCATCCAAGTTAGGTGTGGAGTAATTATTAGATTCAAATTGGATGAACGTTATCAATATTGGAAAGTTGCTAAATTACACGCTGAACATAACCATGAAATGGTTCAGCCAACACATGTTGCTTACATTATGTATGTAATTCATCAAAAAGTTAATTGTTATATATTAATTGTTATCTTATATATTTAATGTTCTTTAATGCTTTATTTTGTAGGTCATTCTGAAAAATTAGTGGGTTAGACCGAATTCAGATTAAGAGCATACTCAACTCTGAAATTGGATCAAGTAAGATGATGCGAAATTTCGTGAATAAAGCTAGTTCAATTGAAAATGTTGGATTTCTATTGAAGGATTTGTACAACTATCTACATATAATCAAACGAGAGCAATTGCAAGATGGTGATGCAAAAACGGTGATGGCTTACTTATATGGAAAGCAAGAATCTAATCCTTTCTTTTTTGTGAGGCACACGAGGGATGAATTCAGAAACTTAGAGAAGTTATTATGGGCTGATGGTGTATCAAGAGCAGACTACAAAGAATTCAGGCATGTTCTTGCATTTGATACAACATACAAGTCCAACGCATACAACAAGTCGTTTGTTGTTTTAGTTGGTGTTAATCATCATCGAAACACAATGTCATTTGGATGTATATTTCTTGTGGATAATAAAGATGATATGTATGTGTGGGTTTTACAGTAGTTGATTGAAGCAGGAGAATGTCACAAACCTCTTACTGTAATAATTGAAAAAGATAAAGCCATGTCAAATGTCATTTCTGAAGTACTACCTGGGGCAAAACATAGATATTGTTTATGGCATATCGTGAGGAACATGCAATCTTATGTTGATCATAGTTTTCTCAATAGTTTTTTTAGATGCGCCAACAAGTGTAGAACTAAATCTGATTTTGAAACAGCTTGGCAAGAATTAGTAGACAAACACAAAGTTGAAGGAAAGAGATGAGTTCAAGAATTGTATGAAGATAAAGAGAAATGGGCATAAGTAAATATGCAATGATATTTTTATGTAGGTAAAAGCATATACACTTGATTTGTAGCGATTATTATATTTATTTTCTACTTTTAACATATCTATATTTTGGTATGCAACAATGAGAACAACTCAATGGTATGAGTCAATGAATAGAACATTGAAAACTTAGTTGGACAAAAAGGTAATGTTGTATCAATTTGTTGATAATTATCATAAACAACTACAATCTATAAGATGGGAAAAAGGTCATTAAGACTATAAAACAAGTGATGAACAACCGTGTTGTGATGGTGTGGTGTCAACTTTAAAACGTAATGTAGCCCAAGTATATAAGAGAAATGTTTTTTCTACTCCGTGCAAGGAAATGGCATACAAGGGTTATTATTTGGTTAAGAAAAATGAAAATACGGAATGAGTGCATATGTTATTGGTTAGTGCATGTTGAAAAAGAGAAATTGTATCTTGTACTTAAACATACCACTCATGATACCATGTATGCTCTATGAAGTTGGAGTCCGTTGACTTTCCTTGTCGTCATATATTTGTCGTGTTGAAATATGAAAAGGCAAAAGAGATATCTTACGGATGTATAATGAAACGATAAACTATTTATACGAAAAAATATATTGGATTAGAAAATAAGAATGTGGATTTTGAAGATAATAATCTAACAACAGTTCAAGCCAGGTATTCCACTCTAACCTCTTATTGTATGACTATATGTCAACATGCATCAAACATTCAAAACATTCAATGAGGTTAAAGATCAATTAGCAAAATTGAGTCTTAAATTACAAACGATAAAAGTGGGATGTAAAAAGAGAACCAGTACAAGCGAAGAAACTATTGGAATTGGCGACCCTATAGTTCTTGAACCAAAAAGAAGAAAACCCAAGAGAACAAAGCGTCAAGTTTTATTGTCCAAACAAACACATGTTTCATATGATGAAGATGTCAAGTTCAACTTGCATAAAACCCTCTGAACTTTCTCTGAAAAGCCTTTTGACAGTTTACAAGGCATACTGATGCACCTGAAAGATCAAATTTAGCTGGATACATGTCCAATACATATAAAAAAATATTACATATATGAGGTAATTAAACGTAAAATAAAACAGTGATTACTTTTTGTTGTTATGTATGTTGATAATATTTTTTTCGCATGCTGCATATACTAATGAATTGAGAATTATGGAAAAATATCCAACTATTTTAGATTGGTAACCAAATAAGTATTGGTAGTGTGTGGTCTCGTCTAAATATCTGAGATAATTACATATGAAATATAATAGTAATAGTAATTACTCTTTCTTGTTATGTATATTGATAATAGTTAAGAATTAGTTTTATTAGTGAATCATTAACTTAAAAAATGTGTTAGTTTTTTGGTTGTTGTGATTACTAATGTTATTTTCTATAATTTTTCTCTCATGATAAATAAGGCTTGGTCTTACCACATGACGGTTGTGGTTGTCTTTTTCCATGTCCATATGGAGATTCAGTTTAATTATATTATTCTAGATATACAGCAAGACATAGTAGTTATATGCACAAAATTCTTTTAAGTTTAAATCTTTCAGATTGTATGAAGTTGGTTTTCTAGTTACTTAACTTTTATCTTTTTTACAATTTCAATTTATGGTGTTTTGTGTTATTCTATTTACAGATTATGGTGTTTTGTGATTTTCTTCCCCTTGCTTTAACGCAGTGTCAATTACAAATACAAACTTATCTTACACAAATTCAATTTCAAATTCAAATTATATGTTGCTATTGTTGATATTCGGCGAAAGAAAGAGCAAATTAACATAAAGAATAAGAACTTACTGCACGAAGGAATCTAGCTAGTTATAAGCCTAATCAAAAGAGGTGAATATGATGGTGATGTCTTGGCATACTCAGGTTCCTCTTAAATCTGTTTCTAGCAAGCTTTTGAGCAAAAGATTCGTAACAAATATCTTCAGCGGAACCTACTATTAGAAAAATGAACTAAATGATTTCTTCAAATTAAAAAATTGTGTGGGATTCCAGGTGTATCGATACGATATAACTGTATGGAATTCTAGTATGTTTTGACATTATGGATACTTCCGGTGTAACGATACAATGCAACTACATTGAAATTCAAGCAATAAAATTTTGCAATAATCCAGTATAAAATGAGGGTATTGATACGGTTTATGTATCAAACGATGGGACTACCTTGAAAATTCAAAAAACAACTGACTGTACCGATACTCACTGGTATCATTACACTATAATTCGAGTCATAATCTTGTATAAAATGAGGGTATTGATACGTGGTTTATATCAATACAGTGGGACTATCTTGGAAATCCAAGAAACAATCGATAGTACCGATACTCACTAGGTATCGGTACACTATAAATTTTGCAATAATCCAATATAAATTGATGGTATTGATACAGTGGGACTACCTTGAAAATCCAACAAATATCGATACCAAACAATTCTATTCATAATCTAGTATAAAATGAGGGTATCGATAAGTAGGGGTGGGGAAATTCAGGTATCCGGATTTTCGGGTACCCGGAACTTCCGGGTCGGTGATTTCTCGGCCTGTGTCCTGACCCGGATGTTACGGGTACCCGGATTTTGCATGTACCCTGTACCTATTTTTTTTTTTCATTTTTAAATTATTAATTTAAAAAAATATATACACAAATTTAAATGTTCGAAACTTCGAATTACATACTCTAATATCCGAACATAAAATTTAAAAGTTTGAAATATAAAATCTAATAATTCATAATATAAATAATTCATTATATTATAGTCGGTATTAAAAACAATAATATTTTTATTTATAATCCATTTAATTTTCTAAATTCATATAGTATATTTTACATATGTCACATACTGAATTTATGAACTTTGATGTTGAAATTAATATCATTCAATTATGAGTTATGTTTCCAACAAAAACATTACATGCATGGCACAAGATGTAGCCCCACGATTAGCCTCTGCATCAGATACGTGTCTGTAAATTTGTTTTGTAAGAAAAAGGAAAAGCAATGGTTTTGGTCATTCATACCAGAAATGAAGCGACGGAGGAGACGGCTATATATATATATAATAAAATAAAATAAAAATAAAACTAACCGGGTACTGGGGTAATCAGGTACCTAGAAAAACTAGATTTTGTGATCCGGGCCCGATCAGGGAAATATCGGGCCGGGTACCTGAACCGGCCGGATAATTTTTTTTTAGAAATTTACCTGGTTTTTTAGGTCCGGGTCAGCGGGTCGATGGGTCAGGTCAACCGGGTCGGATAGTTTTACACACCCTTATCGATAAGTGTATCGTATCGATACGGTAGGACTACCTTGAAAATCAAACAAACAATCGACAGTACCAATACCGATGGGGTATCGATACCATATAATTCTAGTCATTATCCAATATAAAATGATGGTACTAATGCTTGCTCTGTATTGATACGATGGGTTTATTAGTAATTCCAGTGACATAGAGTGGTATCGATACGCATTGTGTATCGATACGACTTTAATGAGCGTACCGATACAATTATTAACCGTACCGATATTTGTGGGCCTAGGACCTATAAATTGTAACACCCTAAACTAGTACGATACACAATCGACTGATCAGAATGCCCACTGAACCACCGTAGTGGCTAACCAAAATTTTCTTTTAGCGCGATCGTTTGTAACCACTCATGCTAAAATAAATCAACCACAATTTAAATAATATAGTTTACAGTAGAAGCTCACAAAATAATATTTAAATCATACAGACCATAGTTTAAAATGAGTTACGACTCATACTAAAATATACAAATCAGAATTTACAATTATACATGCCCTCTAAAGATGGACTCGAGACGTACTTTGCACTATTTGGGTCTGGATCACTGCTATCAAAAAGTCCTCGGACTGCTCCTTGACTAACCTACATAAGGAAACAAATACCATATTTAGTCCCTATAATTTTAATAATTTTTACTTTAATCCCGAAATAATTAATTAAGGATAAGTTACACTGTTAGCACCTAGATTTTATGATATTTCGACTTACCTTTAATTTATATATTTTACATTTTAATCCCTGATATTTTAATAATTTTTATTTTTAACCATAAGTTTTATTACTTTTTAATTTAATCCTATAGTTTTAGTTTTTTTTTATTTTGGTCAATATTGATTGCAATTTTATTTTATTATTACCCTTTTAATTTTAATATGTTTAATTTATTACTTTAATTATTATTTTATTATTATTTTAGTCATATAAATATATATATATTTGATTAAATAATAATGTTTATTTATTTTTAAAAAGTAAGAAATGACTGTCTTAAAGTAACTAGATGTCTTTTTCTGATATTTTAAATAAATAAATATCCTATTTATAAAACTCTAAAAATATATATATTTACTATAGTTTTATAAAAATTATTTTTCCTTAGAATTATCCGATTAAATCTGAAATAATAGGATCATAAATTAAATTTATATTTGAATTCTTATATTTCCACAAATAGAGACAATTTATAATCGACAGGTACTAATTTTGGGCGTTGTAGGGGTGCTAATCCTTCCCCAAATGTTACCGACCACGAATTCTTTTTTATTACTAAAAAGAATGAATTTTTGGTTATACGCAGACAAGTTTATCTTTTAAAATTGGGTTTTCTTAAAAACTATTTTAAAAGATGATTT